AAAGAGATGTGTCTTTAATCTAGATTTAAACAGAGAGCGTGTGTCTGAACCCCTGTGTCTGAGTTTGGGAGCCAAATGTGAAAAAGCTCTACATCTTTTAGTGGACTTTGCTAAGGTATTACCAAAAGTCCAGAATTTCGCGACCTTAGGGAGGTGATGTATTGTACTGTAGCATAAATGACTTGTATTCAAACAAACGGTGAACACTATTAATATAGCAAAATTAACATAGCAAATTTAAAGCAAAATTTGGTAGTTATCTCTTCTCAGGTGTTCAGTCATCTCAGATCTTTGTAAGGGCAGGATTCAGACTGAAGCTTGTGTAATTCCTAGTTAGTGGCAGAAACAGAGAAGCAAATAGAGAAATTTTAAAATTAGCATAGCTGCTGTTCAAACCCAGCAAAGAATGATAATGTGCATTTGATCAGATAAAACTGAAGTACAAGGTTATGAGATACATTATGTCAATGCTTAGCTAAAGAGATGTGTCTTTAATCTAGATTTAAACAGAGAGCGTGTGTCTGAACCCCTGTGTCTGAGTTTGGGAGCCAAATGTGAAAAAGCTCTACATCTTTTAGTGGACTTTGCTAAGGTATTACCAAAAGTCCAGAATTTCGCGACCTTAGGGAGGTGATGTATTGTACTGTAGCATAATAGAAGACTAGTTAGGTACGCAGGAGCTAAACCATTTAGGGCCTTACAAGTAAGTAGTAATATTTTGTAACTGATACGGAACTTAATAGGTAGCCAGTACAGAGACTGTAAAATTGGGGTAATATGATCATATTTTCTTGACCTGGTAAGGACTCTAGCCGCTGCATTTTGGACTACCTGTAGCTTGTTTATTGAGGATGCAGGACAACCACCTAGCAGTGCATTACAATAGTCCAGTCTAGAGGTCATGAATGCATGAACTAGCTTTTCTGCATCAGAAACAGGTAACATGTTTCGTAGCTTGGCAATGTTTCTAAGACGGAAGAATGCTGTTATGTGAAATATGATCTTCAAAAGACAAGTTGCTGTCTAATATAACACCCACATTTTTGACTGTAAACGAAGTAACAGTACATCCGTCTAGATGCAAATTGTAATCTAAGTGATTAGTGTACTATTCTTTTTAGTCCAATAATTAATATCTCTGCCTTATCTGAATTTAATTGGAGAAAATTATTGGTCATCCAATATTTTACATATTTAACACACTCTGTTACTTAGATAATTTAGAAGTTTTATCTGGTTGAGATATATAGTTGAGTATCATCCATATAACAATGGAAACTAATCCCGTATTTTCTAATAATATTACCAAGGGGCAACATGTATATTGAAAATAGCAGAGGACCTAGGACAGATCCTTGCGGCACTCCATACTAGTGCAGTTTCTGTGCTATGATGGGGCCTGAAACCTGACTGAAATTCTTCATAGATATTATTTTTGCAGGAAGGAGCACAATTGAGCAGACAACTTTTCTAAAATTTTAGACATAAATGGAAGATTTTAAATGGGTCTGTAATTTGCCAGTTCACTAGGATCTAGTTGTGGTTTCTTAATAAGAGGCTTAATAACCACCAGCTTGAAAGTTTTTGGGATGTCACCAAGAGATAACGACTAGTTAATAATATTGAGAAATGGTTCTTCTGCTACAGGTAACAACTCTTTCAGTAATTTAGTGGGTACAGGATCTAACAGGCATGTTGTTGGTTTAGATGCAGTGATAAGCTTATTTAGCTCTTCCT